TTTTATTTCCTCCGGTCATTCTCAAACCATGTCATTGGCGCCTTAATGAGACTTTTCTTTCCACAGATCATCTTAGAGATGAGTTGTCCCAGGGACTTGACACCTATTTTGCCCACAATGTTGGCTCCGTAAGCTCTTCCTCAACTCTGTGGGAGGCCCACAAGGCAGTCTTTCGAGGACTCTGTATTTCTATGGGTTCTCGTTTAAAAAAGTCTTCGGCGAGTGCTAGAGCCTCTCTCATACATCAACTGGTTTTGGCGGAGCGACGGTTGTTGGCCAAGCCGTCCATTTCTGGACTCCGGAGGGTAACATCTCTACGGGACCGAATTAAAGTTCTCGACTCCAATAAGACTGCACAATCCCTCTTGTGGATTAAGCAGAAATTTTACGAATTTTCTAATAAGCCCCATCGTATGTTGGTCAATCGACTCAAAGCTCAGTCGTGTTCTGCGTTACCTGATCTTTTAATGCAACCAAATGGAAACCCTACCTATGACCCCCGGGTCATGGCAACCCTTTTTGGCTCATTTTATGAGAAACTGTATAATTGTCTGTCCCCAGATCTTCATCCACCCCTCACACAGTCATCGTTTGATCGTTTTTTTTTTTGACCCCCTGTCACTTCCGAGACTATCATCCTCAGACATTGCTACCCTTAATGCTGATATTACGCTAGAGGAATTATTGGACACAATTAAACATCTCCCCTCTCGTAAAGCCCCGGGTCCGGACGGACTGCCTTACTCCTACTATAAATCCTTTATTGGTATCCTGGCCCCTCATCTCCTCTCTTTTTATCGAGATCTTTTCAAGGGGATCACACCCCAGACTGATTTCTCCCGGGCATATATCTCGGTTATCCCTAAACCCGATAAAGATCATTCTATTGTGGACAACTACCGCCCCATTGCCCTACTCAATTCCGACTACAAGATTTTCACTAAAATTTTGGCCAATCGATTGTCCAGAATTATTTCCAAACTCATACATAGGGACCAAGTGGGCTTTGTACCTGCCAGACATGCTGCAGATAACACCAGGAGATCCATTGATCTGATTGACTTGGTTAATCGATCCTCCACCCTACTGTGTTATTGAGCTTAGATGCTCAAAAAGCTTTCGACCGTTTAAGTTGGCCTTACATGTTCAGGGTCTTGGAGAAATTTGGTTTTAGGGGCCCATTTGTAGCAGCCTTGAAGGCCCTTTATTCGTCCCCCTTTTCGCAGGTCAGATTAGCTTCTTTTCTTTCACTCCCCTTTCGGATGTCAAATGGCACACGTCAGGGTTGCCCACTCTCTCCTTTGCTGTTCATTCTTTGTCTGGAACCACTAGCTATCGCCATCAGGTCGAATCCAGATATTCGCGGGATACAATCCCATTCCCATGAGTACAAATTATCGTTGTTTGCTGATGACATCCTCCTTACACTTACGTGTCCCCATACCTCCTTACCAATTTTGCATAAGACCCTGAAACAATTTGGGGCTATATCAGGCTACAAAGTCAACACGTCCAAAACTGAGGCACTCCCAATACATGTCCCACCTGCCGTTTTATCTTCACTTCAGGAAGCCTTTCCCTACCGGTGGTGCACCCATTCTTTAAAATATTTAGGTACTAATCTTACTTCCTCTTACCAATCCATATATGAAGCCAATTTCCCTCCACTATTTATAGCAATTTCTCGCTCTCTGAAACACTGGGATGCCCTGCCCATCTCTTTTCTCGGACGCATTAACGTATTAAAAATGACCGTGTTACCAAAACTCTTATATTTGTTTGCAACCCTCCCCATCCCCGTTCCTATGTCCAAACTGCACTCCCTTCAAAAATCTTTCTTGCATTTCATTTGGCATAACAAGCGGCACAGGATTGCACGTTCTGTTTTGCTCTCTCCGCGCACTAGGGGGGGATTGGGGGCGCCGGATATAATAACATACTATTATGCAACTCACCTTCGTTTTCTCTTGTCATGGTCTACCCATCATCCTCCCAACACTTGGACTGAGATCGAATCCTTGCAACTGTCCCCAACTCATCCATGCTCCCTCCTTTGGTCGACCTCAGCAGTGGATGTCTCATCCTTCCGCCACCTATTCCTTGGTCCCATGCACTTTTCTATGACTGTTTGGCAGAAATGTAAGGCTAAATTTTCACTGGCCTCTGACTGCTCCCCACTGACAAATATTCTCTATAATCCTAACCTTCCAGACAATATGGCCATATCCCGGATGTCCCTCTGGATAGTAGCTGACCTTTTTCAACTGCGTCACTTGATTCACCCGGTGACTCGTAAGTTATGCTCATTCGCGGATCTTCAGAAAAAAGCTCTTTTACCTCCCCAACATTTTTATATTTACCTTCAAATACGCCATTTTTTTTCTACCTTATCACCCTTATTGATTCTGGGGAAGCCTACTCCCTTCGAACGTTTATGTATGCAGGGTCCCCATCAAAGGGGTATTATCTCTAATATTCATAAGCTTCTTATGGATGCCCCCCCTTTAGCCAATGACACTCACCTCTACATGCGTAGGTGGTCTCAATTTGTACAATGTGATATTGATTTATTAACGTGGAAGAAAATTTGGGAAAATGCATCTAGATCTTCTGTCTGTGTGGTTTTTAAGGAAAATATATACAAGATCATGATGTTATGGTACAAAACACCTGAAGTTCTCCATGCTTATAATCCGAGTGCTTCTCCTGTCTGCTGGCGCTGTAGTAGAGACCTGGGTTCTCTCTATCATATTTTTTGGACATGCAGCTCCATTATTCCTTTTTGGGAAGAGGTCCGCTCCTTGTTGCAATCGTTGTTACATATCTCTCTCCCACTTGACCCATTACATTTTTTGCTGGGTTTACCATTCCCGGGTCTACCTAAACCATCCAGAAAACTTGCTGTACATGTTCTGACCGCAGCCAGGAGAAGCATTCCTATGTGTTGGTTATCTTCTACTCCCCCTTCATTGCAGACTTTGTACAAAATTATTGCTGATGTCAGACAGATGGAATATTTGACTGCATTACATGGTTGTTCGTTTGCTGTGTTTGAGATGATTTGGTGCCCGTGGGATTCCTTCACTTCCTCTATGCCGACCTAAAATAAAAGGCCCTGATAATTTCCACACTGTTATTATATGATTCAACTGATCCTGACCCTTTGTAGTTTTGCCATCGATGTATATCTCTGTTATGTTTATTTTCTTTCCCATATACTCTTTTTCTGTACTGTTTGTACTTGCATGAAAACCAATAAAATTGTTATTAAAAAAAAAAACCCAAACCTAAACTGATACAGATACACAGGTACATACACATATAGAGCACAACGTAGTCAGGCAGGCCGGGTCGATAACTATCGGGCAGGTAGGTACAGGAGGAGAGAATGGTCAGGGTCACAAGCCAGGGATCAAAACAGGAGAAGTCAGCAGAGGTCAGGATCAGGCAGGGTCAGCAACAAGTCAGGCAGAAACAGAGGAACAGGAACGCAGGTTACAAGATACAGGGGCCCATGGAAAAACACACACCAAGGCACAGACTGCAGGTCTGGCCATCCCTTAAATACACCTGCAATCAGCCCCAGGTGATGGCTAATTGCGAAGTGAACCTGTGGTTGTTGAGAGCACCCGCTGGCCAGCCCTGGTACTGCAGCCCACAAGGCAGGTGAGTCCCACCACTATTGGCAAGTCCATTCCTGACAGTACCTCTGTTACTAAACTCCCAGTAACAGAATGGGGTCCAGCTGAACACATAGCGTGGACCTCATACGTTCTCTGTGTTATCTCCTTTACCTCCATACCATGTGGCTAGGCTACATAACACTGGTCTACTCCCAATTGCTATGGGAGGCAAACCGCTAGGGAGGGAGTCCAAAGCCAAGCCCACCTCACTACCTGAGGACACCTCACCATACACAGGTACCACAACTAATGGCTGGCTGTCTTGTGTCCCAAACTGTTTTTTGGTTGCTCTTCGCAATGGCATTACTCCTCCCTGCCTTGCTGGATTGACCCTGATTGTGTGGTGTACTTTATACCCCTATAGTGCTTTACAGGCCAGGTTCTTTGGATACAACAGAACCAACATGTACCCCTTTAATAACTTCACACCAGGCTCAGAAAACAGTTACAGTAACTTTACTGACAAACTTCATACATTACAGTTCAGTACAAAAAAGTCCCTAAATCTAAGTATAGGTGTGTGGCTGCCCAGGCATACCTCGCAGAGGTGAGAGCCCATTTATGTAGTATCCATAGATTGAATGTCCTCCAGAACCACAGGTGTGGCATAGCAGCCTCTTCACGAGTCTTGCCAAAAGTGGGAAAATCTCTCTCGGACCACAGCCAGCTTCCATGCGATTTCAAGGTGACAATAAAATATATAAATCTTTTAAATGACTGACTTGGAGGATTCCTTCCAACTGTATGAGGTGTCATAGAACAGCCCAGGATTCACAAACAGCCTCCGTGACAGAACATTCTGGAAGATTTCTCTGTGGAATTCATGTTTGCTTTTAAAGGTGATTGTATTATATACAGCAGGAACCCCTCCCCCAATCTGATTCATTTCAGGTTAAAAAAAAAAACCCTTTTTCAGGTAGTTTTACTAATGACACTTTTTCCTCAAGCTGGTCTAAGCCTATAAAGGCGGGAAACAACAACTAACAAACAATTACACTGGCTGGGGACAGGTAAAAAGAGAAAAAAGGCTTAAAAAGCACCATGGTAAAAAAAAAGCACTGAGATAATACTGGGGGGAGGTGTCAAAAAAATATGTGCCCCCATTGTGATCTATAGACATCTATAGCCCAGTATATAATGTTACCTCTTTTTACACAAGGATCCAACACACTGAGAGTATGGCTGCTGGGAGAGAAAACATTCACAGGGGGAGGTGGTGGGGATATCAACTCCTTCACATTATTGGCTCTTATAAATCAGCTGGACAGAGGCTAAGCATTGTATTCTCCGCTATCTGTCTACAGAGAATCTCGCATATGACATCATCAATGAAGATGGAGGAGGACCGGAGTCACATGACTGAGAGGATGCTAAAACCTCACCCTGGAGATCATCTACCTGCTGACTGGAGAGGTGAGGAGGATTCTGGGAGGTCACATGACATCACTTTTATCTCTATTAATCAAACACAGACCTGACCGGAGAGATGAGGAGGATTCTGGGAAGTCACATGACATCACTCTTATCTCTATTAATCAAACAGACCTGACCGGAGAGGTGAGGAGGATTCTGGGAGGTCACATGACATCACTCTTATCTCTATAAATAAAACACAGACCTGACCGGGAGAGGTGAGGAGGATTCTGGGAGGTCACATGACATCACATCTCTATTAATAAAAACACAGAACTGACTGGAGAGGTGAGGAGGATTCTGGGAGGTCACATGACATCACTCTTATCTCTATTAATAAAACACAGACCTGACCGGAGAGGTGAGGAGGATTCTGGGATTCTAACATGATATTCCAATTGGTTCTTCAATACAGAGATTTCCTCTTCTGCAGTCAGGTGATCATATGACCATCACAGTGCCTCCATGTGACTCCCTAAAACCTGAGAGACACAACGCAGAAGATTCTAGAAGTCACTAAGAAGATGATGGAGCTGCTGACAGGAGAGGTGAGTGGTGCCGGGAATTCTGGGACATTCTCCAGTAACAGACAAGGGATGTGTCTGGATGGTGACTGTATCATTGTGTGTGTCAGGTTCCTATAAGGTGTCAGGTGTGTCACTGTCTATTTCTCCATGGAGGAGTGGGAGTATTTAGAAGGACACAAGGATCTCTACAAGGACGTCATGATGGACAATCAGCCGCCCCTCACATCACCGGGTAAGAGGAGACTTTATTGTAAAGGAGAGAGCAGTACGGAGGATCCACCTAGATCCCCCATCATCTGATAAAACACATAGAAACAATGGATTCAGTCAGTGTGTGTGTTTCCTACAGATGGATCCAGTCATGGGAACCCACCAGAGAGATGTCCCCGTCCTCTGTATTCCCGGGATTCCACACAGGAAGGTCACACCATTCCTCACCATCATCAGGTAGATGAGGAACAATCACTGATAGTATCATTAGGATCTGTACATTATCTGCATTGTTACCATTGATGTCATTTTTTATTATATATTCAGAGTGGAAACCTGAGAGATTCTAAAGTTGAGGTTAAAGAAGAGATAAAAGAGGAGGAGGAGGATGATGAGGATGGGGTGATGCAGGAGTCAGAGGTTCCAGAAGAACACAAAGATATGTACCTGGACACCATGGTGGAGTCATCCAGCTACAGGAACCCACCAGAGAGATGTCCCCATCCTCTGTATTCCCGAGATTCCACACAGGAAGATCATACCATCGCTCACCATTACCAGGTTGGTGGGATGGAGTATCTAGAACCCAAAAATGACTCATGGAAATGAAGTATGAACACTACAAGATGTTAAAGTCTATTATATTCTTGATTTAGAGTGGAGATCCATTCGATATAGAATTTGAGGGTAAAGCAGAAGAAGAAGAGGCGTATGTGAGGGATGATCAGCAGTCTATGGAGGAGGATGGAATAACGGGGACATTTTATAGAGGAGGACACTCCTACAGAGATCAGCACAGGTGGGTCATGAACACTAAATCCATTCCTCCACCCATACTGCTCACTGATTGGTCCAGAGTAGGGCGGGGACTGGGTGATATCAGCCTGTAATCCCCTGGTCACTTTCCTGAGCTGTGTTCCCCGTCCTGTATTCCTGGATTTCTCTCGGATAATCTTCCTTCTCTGTGCTGCAGACACAATTTATGTATCTAGACTGGATTTATGGAGGTTCTGGGGTTCAGCTGGCAGCAAAATGTTGACTTTCACTATAGACGATACTCAATCTAGGCACTTGGGGCATGTGCTTTGAGTCTTTTGCCCCATGCCCGGGTCTAGCAAGATTTCTGACAGAACAATTCTCCCAGGGTTACTTGCTCTGTGGTGTGCTGGCTGTGCCAGGTGGTGTAACATAAATGTAAGGTTTGAGTAGCTGAGATGTGATCTGTAGAAATATGACATTTTAGATTTAGCTTCATTCCATGTTAATAAGAAGATGGGTTCAGGATTCAGTCAGAGACATATGGTCACCAATTAGCATCTGAATGGACAGAGCATCCTCTAGGCTGGAGTTGACACCTAGATGCAAATAAGACTTGTCACCTACGTAGTCAGACTTTGCTAGACATTTCAGCTTCAGAGGCAGCAGGAGACCAAGACAGGGCTCCGGCCTGTCTGTCAAGCTCTGAGGTATATCAGCAGATCAAAGGAATATATTTTATCTCTCATAAAAGCTAAAATATTAGTTGCAGAGAGATGAAAATACCTCCTTCTGATTGGACACACTGTAGGATACATCTGCATGTAAAACTATATTTGTAGCCTCTTTAGAATCCCAGAGAAACGCAGAAAACAGTTATATGGCGCCTGATTGTGACAGCTGAACAGTGATTGGTACTGTTGCGATCAGACTGATGCGCTGGTGTCGGGAATTCAATCCCTGAGTTGGTGATTCAAACTGTTCCTGGTCCAATCGACTTTGGGCATATTTCAGTACCCAGAATGTCGGGCTGGTACAGGAACACTCCCCAGAGTTGATTGGCCAAGGGCTAATGTCCAGCCTATGTCCATATTCCCATAAATTGAGGACCTTGAGATATGGACGGGGTGATTCATACGGAGCCAGTTCTATTTGACTGGCGAATCGCGGACTTTCTCTGACTTGCTCTAGTCGCAGGATAACATTTGGTAAAAGTTTTATTTCTGTTTTTATTCCCTTTTATTTTATAGCCAATAGCCAATTGTGTGTCTTTTTGTATTTTCTGTAACTGTTTTTTCTTTGTACATATTTTATGCACTGCCCACTTACGGGATATTAGATCATAAACTTAATAAGTGACTTCTGGGTACTTAAGCTCGAGCTCATATCTCTGGAGAGATTGTATTGCAGTGTCTATATGCTCGGTCAAGTTCATTGCCTATCGGTATGCAATTGCACTGCGTGTTGGCAGATTGCATGCAGATTGTAAGGTAGCAGGTCTGCCAGACAGAGATCTGTGTGTGTGTGGTGGCCCACCAGACCAGTCTGCAGACAAACTGTTGGGTGGTGGCAAGTTACCATTTGTGGTCTGGTTTGGGGGGGTGTGAACAGTGGAAGAGTGATTAACATCGGGGGGTTCTATCTTGTAGGAAAGCTGAAGGAATCCAAGAAGGGTCTGCCAATTGCTATCCTGCTCCCCAACCCTATTAGTGCACCAGATTGTATATAAGATTCGTATCTGCCTGTGTGTGGTCAGCCAGCTGGAGTGGAGTCTCCCTCTAGTGGTGGCCAGAGGTAGTGCGGCCTGTGAAAGTGTATCACGGCCAGTCTTATATACGTATATGCTCAAAGTAAATCCCCCTTATTCCCTCTTTACCCCAAGTCACGGTCGGACGTGCACGCCTCGGTTAGCTAGTCGCTGTGGGCGTGTGCATGTGGGTTGGATCCGTGACAGGTGGAGGGATATGTCTGTATAGTCTCAGACCCAAGTCACTGAGTGCAGTCTCAGGAGATGGAAGGCAGCGGTGTGGGACTTCTGCAACTGGTCTCAGTTACTTCCAATATTAATAATCCTGACCCCTGTACTATATACTCTATGTTGTACATTAAATACTCCTGACCCCTGCACTATACAGGGAGGAACAGAAGTATTTGAACCCCCTGCGATTTTGCAAGTTCTCCCACTTAGAAATCATGGAGGGGTCTGAAATTCACATTGTAGGTGCATTCCCACTCTGAGAGACAGAATAAAAAAAAAAAAATTCAGGAAATCACATTGTATGATTTTTAAAGAATGTATTTGTCTTGCACTGCTGAACATAAGTATTTGAACACCTAAAAAACAGCAAGAATTCTGGCTCTCAAAGACCTGTTACTGTGCCTTTAAAAAGTCCACCTCTACTCCACTCATTAATCTAACTTAGTAGCACCTGTCTGAGCTCTTTAAAGACACCTGCCCACCCCACAGTCAGTCAGACGCCAACTACTACCATGGGCAAGACAAAGAGCTTCAAAAGACACCAGAGACAAAATTGTGGACCTCCACAAGGCTGGAAAGGGCTACGGGGCAATTGCCAAACAGCTTGGTGAAAATAGATCAACTGTTGGAGCAATTGTTAGAAAATCGAAGAGGCTAAAGACGACTGTCAGTCTCCCTCGGACTGGGGCTCCATGCAAGATGTCACCTCGTGGGGTATCTGACTGATGATAAGAAAGGTGAGGAATCAGCCCAGAACTACAAGGGAGGAGCTGGTCAATGACATGAAGAGAGCTGGGACCACAGTTTCACAGGTCAGTGTCGGTAGAACACTACGCCGTCATGGTTTCAAATCATGCATTGCATGGAAGGTTCCCCTGCTCCAGTCATCACATGTCCAGGCCCGTCTGAAGTTTGCCAATGACCATCCGGATAATCCAGAGGAGGCATGGGAGAAAGTCATGTGGTCAGATGAGACCAAAGTAGAACTTTTTGGTCTAAACTTTACTCGTGTTTGGAGAAAAAAGAAGGATAATAGTTGCATCCCAAGAACACCATCCCTACTGTGAAGCATGGGGGTGGTAACATCATGCTTTGGGGGTGATTTTCTATGAAGGGGACAGGATGACTGCACTGTATTAGGGAGAGGATGAATGGGGCCATTTATTGTGAGATTTTGAGCAACAACCTCCTTCCCTCAGTCAGTGCATTGAAGATGGGTGTGTGGCTGGGTCTTCCAACATGACAACGACCCGAAGCACACAGCCAGGAGAACCAAGAAGTGGCTCCGTAAGAAGCATATCAAGGTTCTGGAGTGGCCTAGCCAGTCTCCAGACCTAAATCCAATAGAACATCTTTGGAGGGAGCTGAAACTCTGTGTTGCTCAGTGATAGCCCCGAAACCTGACAGATCTAGAGGAGATCTGTGTGGAGGAGGGGGCCAAAATCCCTGTTGCAGTGTGTGCAAACCTGGTCAGGAACTACAGGAAATGTTTGTCCTCTGTAATTGCAAACAAAGGCTTCTGTACCAAATATTAACACGGATCTTCTCAGGGGTTCAAATACTTAAGTTCAGCAGTGCGAGACAAATACATTCTTTACAAATCATACAATGTGATTTCCTGAATTTTTTTTCAAAATTCTGTCTCTCAGAGTGGGAATGCACCTACAATGTGAATGTCAGACCCCTCCATGACGGAGAAGTGGGAGAACTTGCAAAATCGCAGGGTGTTCAAATACTTCTGTTCCTCACTGTATACTCTATGTTGTACATTACATACTCCTGACCCCTGCACTATATACTCTATGTTGTACATTACATACTCCTGACCCCTGCACTATATACTCTGTTGTACATTACATAGTCCTGACCCCTGCACTATATAATCTATGTTGTACATTACATACTCCTGACCTCTGCACTATATACTCTATGTTGTACATTACATACTACTGACCCCTGCACTATATACTCTGTTGTACATTACATAGTCCTGACCCCTGCACTATATACTCTATGCTGTACATTACATACTCCTGCTGGTCTTCAGGATGGGGGAGGTGCCAATAACCCAATGATGGTGGTCTTCAGGATCAGTCCAGTCTTCCTCTTGGTTGTTCTCTCCCCCCATCCTTACTCTCTGACCTCTGGTGGAACTCCTGTCTAGTAATCCTCTTTGTCTTTGTATTTTAGTCCATGGCCAGGAGATGAGGAAAACCTCCGAGGATTGTCTCACTTTGTCTCCAGACTGGAAAGTAGAAGATGAGGACATCACACAGTATAGTCCAGGACAAAACCCGGCTTCCTCCAATGTCCATCCGGCACCACCCAGTGTAGATGGACCATCGGATTCCTCATATCCTGAGGAACCTCAAACTGTGCGGGACCGGGCCGGCCTTCCAACAGGGAAGAGCTTCTCCTGTACAGAGTGCGGGAAATTGTTTGCAAGGAAGTCCAATCTTTATGGACATCAGAGATCTCACACAGGGGAGAAGCCGTATGCCTGTCCTGAATGCGGGAAATGTTTTTCATTAAAGTCCAGTCTTCAAAGACATCAGAGATTGCATACGGGGCAAAAGCTATATTCCTGTCCTGAGTGTGGGAAATGTTTCCAATTTGAATCTGGTCTTAATGTGCATAAAAGATCTCACACAGGGGAGAAGCCGTTTTCCTGTCCTGAGTGCGGGAAATGTTTTTCTGACAAGTCCAGTTTTTACACTCATCAGAGATTGCACACAGGGGAGAAGCCATATTCCTGTTCTGAGTGCGGGAAATGTTTTTCATATAAGTCTAGTTTTTACTCACATCAGAGATCCCACACAGGGGAGAAGAAATATTCTTGTCCTGAGTGTGGGAAATGTTTTTCACAGAAGTCCCATCTCAACCGACATCATAGATTGCACACAGGCGAGAAGCCATATTCCTGTTCTAAGTGTGGGAAATTTTTTTCACGAAAGTCCCATCTTTGCATACATCAAATTTCACACACAGAGGAGAGGTCATATTCCTGTCCTGAGCGTGGGAAATGTTTTTCACAGACGTCCAGTCTTTATACACATCAGAGATCTCACACAGTGGAGAAGCTATATTCCTGTCTTGAGTGCGGGAAATGATTTTCACGGAAGTCCCAACTTTACACACATCAGAGATATCACACAGGGGAGAGACCATATTCCTGCCCTGAGTGCGGGAAATGTTTTTCAGACAAGTCCAGTTTTTCCAGATATCAGAAGTCTCACATGGGGAGAATCCACTTTCCTGTCCTGAGTGAGGGAAATGTTCATCACTAAAGTCCTGTCTTCTTGTATATCAGGGGCCCCACACAACCCTTGAGGTGTATTAGAGCCTTAAGTGCGGGAAATGTTCTACCCAGTCCCTCCCTTTCACAGAAACCACTGTGAGTTGAGCTCCTGGAGGGGCCTGGAGCACCAGCCTCCTTCTCACTGACTATGGGCCCAGGGGTTCTCTCACTTCCCTGGGTACCTGGCTGGCCATGAATGATACCAGCTATCCTTTCCATGTAATCAGGGCTGGAGGGACTGTTTCTGGGACTCCTCTGCATACTGTGATAGTGGAACTATTATCTTGGAGCAATGGATTAGGTGCCGGGATTTAGTTCCAGCATATGTGGGGTTAGGAAACATTATTTCCTGTTCCAGGTTTCCTGGCATCAACTATTGTTTTCTGTCATTAGGTTTAGGTGAGATCTCACTTTGTTTAATCCCCTCCAGAGTCCAGACTGCTGGGTGCCAGGAACGAATCCATTGTTTTTTTGATTGTTTATTTGTGTATGGAATGTCATTTTCTCCTGTTCCCTGTAATGTGGCCATACCTGCCTAGGGGGATATCTGTGTAGAAATGCTGTTTTTTTAATAAAGTCAGTCCTGTTTTTCCTCCAACATTGGTTTTATCTGATGTTTGGAGTCAATTTGCTGTATTCTGGTTCCAGAGTGGAGGAATCTGGAGTTTGGCAGAGATACCCAGTCGGGGTGTCAGGCAGTCTGTCACACTCCCCTTTCGGCTGGTGGAGGTAAGGAGATGGATTATTGGTTATTTTGATCTTCTTTGTGATGGGGACCTGCAGGTCACATCTGGGCCTGGAGCCAGT